ACTCCAAAACCCTGGTGTGCACAACCATGCACTCCAGGTTTCTTGGAGTGCACACCCATACACTCCAGGTTTCTTGGAGTGCACAACCATGCACTCCAAAAAACCATGATGTGCTCATTTTGGTGTGCACACCAAGAAATTTTGGAGTGCCCAAAAGTGCACTCAGAATTCTTGGAGTGCACTCCTTTTTTGGTGTGCGCGGGGTTTTTTTTTGGAGTGCAAAAAGGCTGACCCAAAAATTATTTTTAAAAAAAGTTGATTTTCTTTTATCTTTTTCACAAATTTCAAAATCTTGTTTTTTCTTATTATTTTTTCATAATCATTCTTTCAAACACATTTTCCATCATTCCACAAACTCTTGTGACTTAAAGCTTTTGGATTCCCAGTGTGGAGCTCAAAACAGACGCCTATAAACATCTGGGAGGAGACTGTACAACTTGATGGCCTCACTTTTTTTTAGGTGCTTGTCATCAACTTTTCAGAATTTCTTGAGTTTTTTTTTTGAATGGTTTGGAAGATTCAACATTACATGGGAGTGTTCATGTAGCATGATCACCAAATCGGTTTCTTGGCCAATTTTAAAATCTTATTTTTGTTTGCGGGCACGCCATTGATCCTGTTTGATGTTATATTCCACTATATCAAAAAAAGAGATGCTTTCTCAGGCACCAATTATAAACCGTTTTTGAGATTTTTTTGAGATTTTTTTGAGTTTGTTTTGAAGTTCTTTTTTCTTTGTTTTCCTAGTTAATAACAGCTTGATCAGATTTCAAAACTGACTTCAATAATGGTGTCCGATTATAAACTCAAGTTCTATTCCTGCAACTCCCAAGCACCAAAGAACTGAACCCCCAAAAACCAACCATATGGATCTATCACCTGCCAACAACCTTATCTCCCGGATCACTGTTTGGCACGTGCTTCATGCCCAACAATCGCAGCAAGAAGAACGATGAGTTTATATCCGAGCAAATCGCCAGGCTTACACACGACCAAATCGCTGGGAGCCTTGGACCGATGATCGAATCCCTGCCACTCAATTTGTCAAACGCTTCCAAATGTCCCTGGCCGACTTCAATTGGTTAGCGGATGAATTGTGTGGCGAACTCCAGCAAGACTTGCTGGGACAAGGAGTGCCGTTATCCGTAGAAGCTCAAGTAGCCGTAGGACTATACCGTCTGGGTCATGGAACTAGCTACGTGACAATTGGCCACGTCTTCAAAGTTGGCAAGGAGACGGCTGACAAAGCCTCGGGTCGGTTTGTCAATGGGGTCCTCAATGTTTTGAGGAAGCGAGCAGTTGGGTATATTTTTTCCCTGCGTCTTTTGGTGTGTTTAAAATCTAACAACTCCCTTGCTTTGCTGTCAAGGTACCCACCACTGGATAGGACCAATCAGTGGGATGTGATCAAGGAGAGTTTTGAATGCTGTTGCGGAATTCCCAAAGTGGTCAGGGCCATTTATGGGACTCATGTCCCAATTGTGATACCCCCAAACAATGAATGGAAGGGTTATATTAACAGAAAGAGTTGGGCCTCCATCTCTATACAGTGTGTAGTCAATGGTCAAGGAAATTTTCGAAACGTTGAGTCAATTAATCCACTCATTCCCCTTGCTCACAGTTCATGATTGATCTCACAGCTAATACTCAATTGGGTTTTTCCAGGTAAGTGGGGGTGGGCCAGGATCAATGCATGACAGCCGTGTTTTCCGATGTTCTCGTATTGGCCAAAGTCTGCTCCCCGGATGTGACAAGGCACCCATGATACCAGATGGAACATATCTGGTTGGATGCAGGGTACCCATCAAACGTGAATATTCTTGTTCCCTATCCATCGGTTCTCTCCCCCGCGAATGAATGGTTCAACTACATTCAATCCTCAACTCGGATTGTTGTTGAGCAAGCTTTTGGTTGCTTGAAGAATTGCTTCCAAATTCTGCTCCAATCCCAGAATGCCCGACCACTTCGGGCAAAAAACAACGCATTTGCCTGTATTGTATTGCACAATATCCTAAACCAACAAGGCTCACTTTACCTGCAAGATTGGGATGAGTGAACAAGTCATGAACTCCTGTACGGTGAAGTCCCTGAAAGGCACAAGGGAGGTAACAGACAAACAAACCTCGACCATTCACAGGTGTCTATGTGGACCCGCTGTGATATCATCCGCGACTTCTAAGTTCTTGTACAACAGATCCTAAGATCTGATGTTTTCCCTTGATTGCTTTGCTCTTGATCTGATTGTTTTTATTTGTTTGTTGCTCTCGATCCAATTGTTTTTCTTTGTAATTTTTTTTGTTGTTTTGCTTTTGAAGATAAGAAACAGTACTGGTTTTTCTTTGTTTGTGTCTGCACTCCATACTTAGAAGTTTTATGGATGAATTTTTTATGTTGTTTTGCTTTTGAAGAAACGAAAAAGTACTATGGCTAGTATTTTAAATACAAAGTGATTGATAAGACTGATAAAGTGAAATTGAAAGTGATTGATAAGACAAGTAAGAATAATAGATGAGAATAGAAGAGATTCATGAAGAGAGAAACTGTGATCGCACCAGTACACAACAATACATTCATCAGAAAAAAAAATCACAACGATTCAGTCATGAAAAAAAGGGGATGAATCTGAGAGCTGATCGGATACACAATATTTTAGATGAAAATTACAAATGAGATCATTTAGCTTGACCTCCTCCCATCAACTTGAGAATGGCTAACTGGAAAGCCTGACAAGATTCCTCTTGAGCTGCTTGTTGGGCCACCTGTGCTGATGCAAGTCGCTCCTGGTGGGCCTCCCAACGTCGGGTTGCCTCCTGAGTCTCCCTTGCACGAGCAGACGCTCTTCCATCCGCGGCCTCTTTATCCAATCTCATTTGAGCTGCAGCAAGCTCCCGATCCAATCGGAGTTGTTGGGTTGCTTCATCACGTTCTCGCCGATCCTCACGCAAGGCCTCCAATTGTGCCTCCTCCTTCCTATTAAACCTTGCTTCCACCTCACGGCGCTCTTTGAGGCGGGCTTCTTCGGATCTGTGCATCAGAAGGAGCATCCCATTGGCTGTGGGATCCTCTTTTTTGGGGGCCTCCTCGTAGCGCCCACGTTGACGAGTCGGTGCTGCGCTTTCTGCCGGGGGACGCTGAGTTGAAGGGGAAACCCCGCTTCCACTTGCTGAAGAGATCGCACCAGTAGTCCCGGTTACGGTTACTCTAGAAGGGGTCAACCTGGTTGGTTGAGTAGCAGGGGCCCTCTCATATGCAGGTGGCGGGCTGGGGGAGTCTAACGCCAATTCTGCCTCAGTCAGGGGCGGCAAATTCCTACGATTTCGCCTGACTGATTGCCGGGGGATTGGTTCAGTTTGTACATCAGTTGATTGGGTTGGATCCACTTCTATGTGTTCTGGAGATGGTTCAGCAAGCGGGTCATTGGGAAGCTCTGATGCAGAATTGCGAGGTGAGGCCGAATCATCTAAGATGGTCTTGATTTGAGGCAAGGCCGAATAATCTAAAATCCTCTTGATCGGATCCTCAAGCCCGACTTGCCCATGTGCGTGGGCAGCAGCATTGTTCCCATGCATATTGCCTAGGAGATTCCACAACTGAGAGGATCCAAAGAGAGTCAGCTCTCCTCCAAGTCTATATTTGGATTCTGAATGATGCACAGGTCGTACTGCCTCACTCATTCCAAATTCTATGAGTGCAACAAAAAGCCCATCACTTCCTGACCGATCAACATTATCCCTTACTTTCTGTAGAGGTTATCAAATCACTTTTTGTTAGTAACTCAATCAATCAATCAACATCCAAATGAAAAAAAAACTTACACGCCACGTGCCCATGAGGGCTGCATAACGAGTCAAGAGGCTTTGATTGTTGCGCCCAACGAGTAGGGGGAACAGATCACAATCGACAGGGTAGGCCAAAAAGAATTTGTTAAAGTTCATAAATCCGGGTTGGTCGCGCTTGAGTTCGGTATGCTCGTCTTTGACCATACCATAGAAGTGGACCATCTTGAGTGACACATCTTCAGACCATGTTAGACGAGTTGTTTTTGGTGCTTGAGTTTTCTTGATTATCACTTGAGCTGTCTTTGCTGCAGCCTTGGCAAGCTTATTTTCAGCTCTGTCGGCCGCTTTATGGACTTTGTCGGCGGCCTTCTTTCCTGCAATGTGGTCCGCCAACGTCATCTGGGCAGCAGATCTGCGGGGCCTGCGAGTAGGGTGGAGAATCGGGTCGGGTTGACCCCCAGAAGAACCGTGCCCAAGTCGGGTTGGATTACTCCGGGTACTTTTAGACAAAAGCAGATGCAGAGGTGACCCGACCCCTGATTCAGCTCGGGTGGGGTTAGTGTTTTATATGCTCAATTAGGGCCAGCCCAATTGGCTTCCCTGTAGGCTGTGGCAGATGGTTGGACCTTGGAGGCTTGGACAAATCATTCATCAACAACATTTTCCCATCTCAAATCATTATTCAGTCTCATCAGCAAAACATCCTCCCTCCCCAGACACCAACTATCCAACCACCCATTGTCATGAACTTAAGCCCTCAAGAAAATTCCACTGATTTTTCAACCACAGCAGAATCACAATCAACTGTTTCAGTCAATGTTGGTAGTACCACTACCAGCAAATCACCATCACAAATTTGTACATCCATGAAGAGAAATAGATCAACTAGTGATGTGTGGGATCACTTCAAAAAAGAAGGTATGTAAACCAGTTGTTGACCAGATAGTTATGATTTGCACTGACCAATCTCATGATCACTTTTCTTAAGCAGGAACCGGGAAAGACACTAAGGGAATCTGCAAGTATTGCAACAGCAGCCTTGCCGCACGAAGCCATATAGGCACAAACTCTCTCTGGCGTAATTTGAAGCGACACAAGTCAGTGAAAGAAGAGCTGAGAGGCTGTCTTACCATTAATGACATTTCACATCACGAATTCTCACAGGAAGCTTCTAGGGAACTTCTTGCCCAAATGATTATACTCCATGAGTATCCTTTTTGGATGGTTGAACACCCTCTCTTCCGAAGGTTTGTCACTTCTTTAAAACCAGCTTTCACTCTCATTGGCCGGCACACGGTGCGCAACGACTGCATCAAGATTTACAATCAAAAGAAAATTCAAATTATGGACGAAATGGCTCACATCCGAGGAATTGCCTTGACAACGGACTTGTGGACCTCTGGCAATCAAACCGGCTACATGGTTTTGACTTCCCACTATGTCGATTTGAACTGGACACTTGTCAAGCGGATTATCGGGTTCAAACCGCTTCCATCACCCCACAACGGCCCAGCAATTGCAGAGCGTATCTCACAAACTCTACTTGAGTGGAATGCGGTGGAGAAGTGTACTTTCATTACAGCAGACAATGCCTCCTCAAACAATGCTGAAGTTAAGCAAATCATGAATGGCTTGGATGCTCAGGGGGCCTATTTTCACCTCTGATGTGCGGCACACGTGATCAACCTTGTTGTCAAGGATGGTTTCAAGACTGTTAATGAAGGAATTTTCAAGCTTCGAAATTCAATCAAGCATTTTCAAGGCTCTACAGCTCGGAAGCAAGCATTCTTGCAAGCAGTTTCCAATTGTCACATCAAGTCCGATAAGCATCCATCAGTTGATGTTGCAACACGATGGAATTCAACCTTCTCAATGATCAATTCGGCTCTTCCTTTTAAGTTAGCATTTGAGACTCTTGCGATAAGCGGCTCAACCTTTTTATATTGTCCAAGTCAAGAGGAGTGGTATCAGTTAGCCACTATGCGTGACTTTTGGGGGGTTTTTCACAAAGGTAATCTCCCTATCTCACTGCCTTTTTATATACAGGAGTATTGATTTGAATTTATTTTTTCAAAAAGCAACGGTTGATCTTTCTGGAACCAAGTACCCCACATCAAACTTACTATATAAAACAATGAATAAAATTAAGAAGCACATCACCCAAGCTGAATCGAGTCCTAGTGTACAAGTGGTAATGGTTGCACATTCAATGATAGATAAGTTTCACAAGTATTGGGAGAAAATGGAGCGGTTTGCGTCCATTGAAATTGTCCTCGATTCCCGATATAAACTGGACT